ATTATGTAATTTGGGTAACTATTTAACAAAAAATTGAGTAAAAATTTGGTCAATAATTATCCAAACTATTTTTTTTATCCATATTTAAGTATTATGTGACAAATTTATGATAAAAAAATTGTTAACAATCTAGACGTTGCCTGCTTGAAAGACCATATAAAAATATATTCAATATTTTCAGGAACTAAAAATGATGCAATTGAAATAATAGAGACCAAAATAAAATAAACCTCATACTTTGGAAATATCCAGTGCAATTAATCCTAAAAAAAATTAAATAATTTAAATAAAAAAATTATAGGATAGACACAAGTAATATATATATATATAGATAGATAGATACTTCCTCGAACTCAATGGCCGACCACCCGCGGCTTAAGTTGTGTCTTTAAAGGACAATGATGGCTAGCCCTTTGAAAATATGAGAAGAGATTGAACTTGAGATTTTAAAATTACCAAAATACAGAATCAATCACCAGACTATCCCTAAAAATTATATAAAAATATAAGTATATATATAATATTTTTAAAAAACAACTTGAGGGTGGACCTGTCCCCATCCTCACCCCTATGTAGCTCCACCATCCCACTTCTTGTCGACGTGGGATTCTCATCCCCAGCTGAAGAAGGCATTGAAAATGCCTTCAACTTTTCTTCAAACTATATCTCCAAATTACAGTATCTAACACCCATTTGAACTTGCCAAATAGACATATATTTATAATATATATTATATGTTTTTAAATATTTATCTTAGATATTTAATATATCTTTTATTAGTATTATGAATTTAAATGCTTATATTGAAAACTTAATGTCAAAAAAAACACTTAATATATTATTTGTAATTATTATGATGCTATCAAAGTATTTTCACTCTCAAATTTTTCTGAATTTTATAGCTCTCACTCTCGCTCTATGTAATTTAGGTTTTTACATCATTTCGACTATAATTTTTGTCCAAAGATTTAGCCAGACTATCATTATTGGTTATAATTAGTTCTACTTGTCACATGGGCACCACCATCTCATTTTGAATTTAACATTGAAAAATGAACTAATCTCAACTTGAACTTTAAAAGATCAGTTAAATATTAATTTATATCTACAAAGTTTAAAAATATTAATTTACGCTTTGAAAGACATAAATTCGTATCAATGTGCATCTGAAACTAACTCTGTTTATTTTGCCGTTAAAAAAGTTTGAGTTAATTATAAATTATACTCTTTAAAGTTTAAATATTTCATAGTTATGATCCAAAAAGAATTTCATCTATTAATGCTCCCTAAATAGCTCTTAATTTCATTGAATCATAAAATTTTCATGTCGTGAGTCAATAAAAAAATATTTTTATCACAAAAAATATTTTCTTGTCGAGTCAATTGTGTTGTGTCATATATTTCACATTTACGAAAATTCGTATAATACTATTTAATATTTTTTAAAATTAAAAATATCTATTTTTTGTTTATAATACTATTTAAATAACTATTTTTTGTCTACAATTGTGTCTAACTATAGACAAAAAATAACTATTAAATGATTATTGTAATAAAAATTAGATATTTATAATTTTTTTAAAATTTTAAAAATATTTTTTTATTGATTCGAACACGATATTAAGATGTTATGACACGGCAAAATTGAGAGCTATTTAACGAATATTAATAGATGAAATTTTTTTTGGATCATAAATATGAAATATTTAAACTTTGAGGGGTGTAACTTATAATTAACCCAAACTTTTTTAACGTCAATTAGTCTTGATTGCACATTGATACATATTTATATCTGTCAAGGTATAAATTAACATTTTCAACTTTGAGGGTGTCAATTAAATTCGAGGGATCTTCGAACTTTAGACATGCAAATTGAGATTAACCCTTTAAAAATTTATTTTTTAAAACTTTCACGTTGTAGAACACATCAGCTCGTTTTTTAGAAATAAAGATCAGATCTTTTTCTTTTCATAAATTAATGATGAAAGTTGATTTATACATGAAGTACTAAATAATCTATCACTCCTTTGTTTTTGTATCAAAATGGTTTAATTATTTCTTGGAAATTATAGTAGTTTTTTTTTAATTAACTTTTTGTTCATAATTCATAATTCTAGTCAAAATTGAACTTATTTTCACTCTTTTTAATTTTGTATTCCATAAATGCATGAAGCAAATTTTTTTAGTTGTAGTCTCAATGGAGGTTTTTTTTTAATGAACACACACAAGAGAATACATGTATTTTTTAAAGTGGCCTTAGCCTGCTTCAAATAAGAAAAATAACAAGTACACAATTACAATAATGAAAAATATCTTCTATTAACTACTCAACCTCCTCTCGCACTTATGAACTCTTGAATGAATTGTCACAAAATTAAATGATTAGGGCTTAGTTTTAATGGGTTCAAGAACTACAGCTTTCAATAGATAAGATCATGCACACGTGCCTTGCACATGGACTATTTGAGCTATGATTTTGTTTTAATTAAGATTTTAACTTTTTTTTTGATCAATTAAGATTTAAATTTGAAACAATCAAATAAATACAATAGCAACTACATACATATAAATCAAACAATCTAAATATACCTATTTTAAAAATTTTGTAATTTATGATAGACGTATACTACATTTTTTTAGAATGAATATTAATTTTTATTTTTTTTACTAACTCTTAATGTTTTGATGAATTACTTTCTTCTAGACTTCTACCCGTAAGATTTAGAACTTTTCACATGAAGCTAATAATTTTGATTAATTTTATTTGTAATATCATAGTAGTGGTATAAATATATTTTGTGGTATTCGGGTATATATAACTAAAAAGTATCACGGTCACTTATTAAATTATGAATAATACTAAAGAGAAACTATTTTAAGTTATGGTGGTCATCTAATTATAAATAATTGATTGAGCAAATTTAAGTTAAGTTGTGGTAAGTAAATTAATGTAATACTGAATATTCGTGGCATTGTTAACAGATAAAAATAAAATGGATTGTAATATTGGCAATACACATAACTAAAAAGAATGTATTGAAACTAAAACATAAAAGAGAAAAAATGAAAAGTCAAGATTTGATAATATTATCTAAGTTATAATAAAATAAATCTTATATTAAATAAGATCTTAGTGCATTTATACAATTTCATTTAAAAATTTAGAAACTTGTTATCAACTAATGAAAATAGATATATAAATAAAAATAAATTTAATTATTTTAATAGTTAACTTTTATATTTTAAAAGAAAGAATATGAAAGGCTTGGATGTGTGTCATATTAATAAAGTTGTATTAATAAAAATTTTGTATTAATAATGTTAGTATTGTATTTATTATGAGAGTAAATTTGCCCAAATAAAAGTTTAGCATTAATGAAGTCCAATTAATATGAGTTCTACATTAAAAAATATTATATTACTCAAATAAAACCCAAAACTTAATATAGATTAGTTCTTGGGGCGGTTCGTTTTGCGCTATCGAAACTTAATGTAGAACTCATATTAATAGGACTTTTTGATAGTGTACTTTTATTAGTAATATAGATTAGTTCTTGGATAAAGTTTCAATAGCACAAAACGAAACGCCCCCAAAATTCATTGGGATCTTTTATTTTGATTTGAATGATTTGTAATTAAAAAATATTACATAACTCAAATAAAACCCAAAACTTAAAATGTAAATGTATATTGTATTATTTATGAGTATTGTTATTGGGACTTAATTTACTGACATAATTTGCTGACCTAGTTCACTATAAATTTTGGATTGACTATGGAGCCCATCAAACATTGACATTTGGTGTTGATCAAATGATTCTGCTGAAATCACATCATTATGTTAGCAAATTAGGTTAGATTTTTAGGTCTAAATAGTAATACTCATTATCTATTGGATAAGTGTGGGATGAGTGAGTCCCACTGAAAAAATTAATGAGATCCACTCGTCGAAATGATGTTATATATTTAGGTTCCAACTTTTTAGGGTTTATTTAGATTTTGTCTGATTGCTCTTTGTAATTATTGATTAAAAAATAATAATGTTAATAAATAAATTTTACTCTGATAGTATATTTTTATTAAATGACACCAGGATACAGATGTGTACAAGCATTGTATAGAAAAGTTATGATATATACGTATCCATGCACTGTGGGAAGTTGAGTGGGCGGGGGAGAGGGAGAGTTTTTGGAGACTTATAACGACGAAAGTGGAAGGAACAGGAAAGGAGTGTCTAATAGAGGGGGATGAATGAACGCCGTTTGGCTTTCTTTGTTGTGTAGGAAATGCAGGTGCACCACATTTTCCAATCCTCTCTCTCATGACCTTTCACTTTCCCTAACCATTGTTTGTAACCGTCTTCTACATATTTTTTCTCTGTTTACTCACATATATACCTGAAAGAGCTTGACGTATAGTATAGTTCTACAGAGTAGAGAGGCACGCACTGTGAGAGAGAGAGAAAGAGAGAGATAGTGAGAGGGAGAGACAGAGGACACGGCTAAGGAAGAGGACATTTCACTTTCCACACATTTGAATGCCCTTACATTAGGCGATCAAGCTTTTGTTTTCTTGACTTGTAGTCAACTTGGGTCTCTTTCTTTATTCGATTCCATCGTTCATACACTTTCTTTCTTATTCGCAATTGTACGGCATTTGCTCTCTTTTTTTTCCTTTCGAAAAAACAAGGGCATTTGCTTTTTGATTACATCTTTTAGGACACATTGAAGTTTTTGGAACCTCAAAATCATACTGTTGGGCATATATATCTCTCTCTTTCATCGCATCTGTCTATACCGTTACCAATACATCTGGTTTTTCTTCTTCCTATTCTGCTTTCGTAGCTGGTAAGCGACCCTTCTCTTCTTAGTCTGTGCATGTGTGTGTAATATAAAGTGTTCCAGTGTTTGTTTGTTTTTTAATGTATTTTCGAGGATTCTAATGTTGGAATCATAAAAAGGGTTTTTGGGCACTGAATAATACAAAGAAGAAGGAGAGACATGACGACGAAGACGACAACAAAATCTTCAAAGAAAGCAGAATCCAGGTCGGGTCAAGGCTTGATCGATTTGGTTTTCTCTTGGTCCATTGCTGATGTTCTTAATAAGAATCTCTACAAGGGAAAGGTTTGTCTCATCTTTTTCACAATATATATTTATTTATATATGTATACCCCTTATATGGTTATCTATGCATCAATTTCACTCCCATTATATAAGCCAAGAAGCAACACAATCAATTTTTTGATTTCTTTCTAGATTGGCACAAGGCTTGTTTCAATTGCATGGTAATTGTACCCCTATAAGTATATTATTGTATATCAATATGTATTTGTATATATTTAAAATATTGGTCCATACTGATATAAATCATCGCTCGACAAATTTAGAATCATTACGTATAAACTACGAGTCTCACATTATCCCGAACGAGTCTTCTGAGTCGATCTTTTGTTGGTGAGTACTTATCACCGAAATTTGATATGATCTAAATCTGTCGTTTGCTTTTAACTTTTTTGAGGCCGTATCGCCTGGACATCGTGAGTGATGTGTCTCAAATCCCTCCAATTGAATGACCTATACTGCATCCTTGAACGATGTCTATGCAACAATTTCACTATCATTATATCAACCAAGTAACAACACCATCAAATTACTATATGATTGGCCAGAGGCCAACTGGGGTGGTAGTGTTTTTGTCTCTTCTATGTCTCCTTTTATTGATTTCTGATAGATTGGAAAAAATATTCAATGAAAGAGTGACACCATGTCATTACCGTTACCGTCATTTGATGTCACCATCTAATTAAAAAATTACAACTAAATGTCGTGTTTTTTTATTAGTTTTCCACAAACAAAAAATATATGAGAACTTATTGAGTTTGGGATGTTATGACTTAGGTTCATATACTGACATTTGTGGCAAATAGCTTAATTCAGTTGGTATAATAATACACAAGAGTACTGATATTTATGGGGACTCAGGTTTTTCATAGTTGTAAGAAAAATAACTTAACTGATTTTATTTTTCTTGCTAAGCCAATGTGGCTTCTAATTGCCTGTCTTTTGGCTGTTTTGAAATCCAAGTGGTAATTTCCAAGTATTCTAGTCATGATTCTTTGATGCTGGTTAGCGTGAATAAAGAAACAAGATTAAAAAATAAAAGTCATAACCCGTTGATTATCGCAATAATATCATATTAGAATCTTGAAGAGTCCTGTTGATTTTGTATAATACAAGGCAATTGGGAAGAAAATTGTACTTGTCTCCAAGTTTTTATTCAAATAGAAACAAAGCTCTTGAATCAGTTTTCAAGCCATATAAATACGAAACCCTAATAGTTCTAAATTACTAGAAAAATCAAGCAAATAAGTAATATTATGGAAATACCTCAAATAGTGGGATAAAGTAGGAAAGTGCTTAAAAAGTGTCATAAACGTCGTTTTTTGGATACATGCTTCAATCTTACTTAGATTGTCGAGAACTATTTGAAATGGGGTCTTCTAAAATTTTCCGACACTATCGCACAAAATAAGTCTTGATTGGTGCCCGATCAACACTACTTTTAGCAGTTTTGATCTGTCTTGTAATTTTCTGCGATTCTATATGTGCGAAATCACTCTTTTTTGTATCTTTGACAGGTGAAGGAAATTCCAAAAACATTTCCTTCAACAGCTGATTACATGAAGTCATTCATCTATCCCCTAATTGAGGAAACACATGCTGATTTGCTCTCAAGCATGACAGACTTGCCACGTGCACCTATGCGTGAAATTTTTGATGTTAGAATCTCTAAACACTTTAAGCCTCCCAAAAGCTTGTTGTATGACATTACCTTGCAGAGAATGAGAGAAGAGAATGGCAAAGGCAAGTATGAGCCTGAGGTTGGAGATCTCATTGCCTTGACAGATGTAAGACCAAAGTGTATAGATGACCTCAACAGGCCCAAGAGATCCTATCTTATTGCTTTAGTTCAAACTAAATCAGAGGAATATCCTGATAAAGTTAAAATCTTGACTTCAAACCTCTTTGGATTTGAGGAAGCAGCTATGGAAAAGGATAACAAGAAACAGAAACTTTTCGCCATAAACATTACAAACTTGACGACGAATATTCGTATATGGGATGCCTTGCATCCAGGACAGGGAGGGGGAAACATGAACATCATTAAAAAAGTGCTGCAAACTGATTCTGGGGTAAGGAATCAAAGCATTTTTACTTGGTTATCATTTTTCACATATGAAAACGGCCCTTTTGCGGCTTGAAAGTACCTCTTAAGTGCTAACATCTTTCATTTGAATTGCCTGCATAAACAGAGAAAATAACTATGGTCTAAATTTAATGGGAGCCACAGCCTCCCGTTCTTGTTTATTTCTTTGTGTTTTTACTCGTACAATTCTCATCTATACAATTTCTTCTGGTGTTTAGGTTGGTGGAACATGTACTCTCTGTTCCAGTAAAGGAAATGAAAGTTCTGCTGTATTGAACTCAAAGGAAGTAATTCGCTCATTTAAGCTAGATGAATCCCAAGAAAATGCCGTTTTAAGTTCTATTGCTACACGAGAATGCAATCATGCAAATAGTGTACGATTAATATGGGGCCCTCCTGGTACTGGGAAAACAAAAACAGTCGCTTCCTTATTATTTGCATTGTTAAGATTGAAATGCAGAACATTGTGCTGTGCCCCGACAAACATTGCAGTGATAGGAGTCACAAGTAGACTTGTGAGTTTGGTGAGGAATGATATTCAATTTGATACTTATGGATTGGGAGATATAGTTTTATTTGGTAATGGGGAAAGAATGAAGATTGATGATCATGAAGACCTTTTTGATGTTTTTCTTGAGTACCGTGCTTCCATTCTTGCCCGTTGTTTATGTCCACTTTCTGGGTGGAAAGGTAGTACACAATCGATGATATGTCTGCTTGAAGACCCTCAACAGCAATATAATCTGTATATGATAAAAGATGAAGAGAACGAGAAAAATGATGATAAAGATCATGATGGTTTGGCGGAGGATGGTGAAATTAGAAACTTGGGTGGCAATCAAAACAAAAAAGGTGAGAACAGTGATCAAGACTTCCATGTCAAGGTCAAAAACAAAATGTGGATGAAGGAAATTGTTGATACCTTGAAGGAAAACAAGAAAAATCCGACTAAAAAGATGTCTTCTCAGAAAAGAAAGCAATCTAAGGGTAATGAGAAAGATGGTAAGGAAAGTAAGAACTGCAAAGGAAAGGCAGATGATAAACGTCTCAACCCTTGGACATTTAAGGAGTTCTTCACTAAGAGATTCAATTCCATTAGCGAGCAGCTTCTGTTTTGTTTTACAAACTTGTACACCCATTTACCTACTTCTTTCATTTCATTGGAGGTAGTAAAGAACATGATTAAAGTTTTTGGTTTGCTTCAAACTGTTGGAACTTTGTTGCAAAGTGATAGTGTTACAAATGAAGGCTTAAGAGAAGTCTTCAATGGAATTGAAGATGGTGGAACAAGGGTGAGAAACTATAATAAGTTGTGTACGTCCAGAACTGAATGCCTTCAAATACTGAAATTCCTTCAAGCAGCATTTGATGTTCCAAATCTTAAAGGTGACTGTGATATTAGAAGGTTTGAAAATCAAGTTAGAANTTTGCTTTTAACTTTTTTGAGGCCGTATCGCCTGGACATCGTGAGTGATGTGTCTCAAATCCCTCCAATTGAATGACCTATACTGCATCCTTGAACGATGTCTATGCAACAATTTCACTATCATTATATCAACCAAGTAACAACACCATCAAATTACTATATGATTGGCCAGAGGCCAACTGGGGTGGTAGTGTTTTTGTCTCTTCTATGTCTCCTTTTATTGATTTCTGATAGATTGGAAAAAATATTCAATGAAAGAGTGACACCATGTCATTACCGTTATCGTCATTTAATGTCACCATCTAATTAAAAAATTACAACTAAATGTCGTGTTTTTTTATTAGTTTTCCACAAACAAAAAATATATGAGAACTTATTGAGTTTGGGATGTTATGACTTAGGTTCATATACTGACATTTGTGGCAAATAGCTTAATTCAGTTGGTATAATAATACACAAGAGTACTGATATTTATGGGGACTCAGGTTTTTCATAGTTGTAAGAAAAATAACTTAACTGATTTTATTTTTCTTGCTAAGCCAATGTGGCTTCTAATTGCCTGTCTTTTGGCTGTTTTGAAATCCAAGTGGTAATTTCCAAGTATTCTAGTCATGATTCTTTGATGCTGGTTAGCGTGAATAAAGAAACGAGATTAAAAAATAAAAGTCATAACCCGTTGATTATCGCAATAATATCATATTAGAATCTTGAAGAGTCCTGTTGATTTTGCATAATACAAGGCAATTGGGAAGAAAATTGTACTTGTCTCTAAGTTTTTATTCAAATAGAAACAAAGCTCTTGAATTAGTTTTCAAGTCATATAAATACGAAACCCTAATAGTTCTAAATTACTAGAAAAATCAAGCAAATAAGTAATATTATGAAAATACCTCAAATAGTGGGATAAAGTAGGAAAGTGCTTAAAAAGTGTCATAAACGTCGTTTTTTGGATACATGCTTCAATCTTACTTAGATTGTCGAGAACTATTTGAAATGGGGTCTTCTAAAATTTTCCGACACTATCGCACAAAATAAGTCTTGATTGGTGCCCGATCAACACTACTTTTAGCAGTTTTGATCTGTCTTGTAATTTTCTGCGATTCTATATGTGCGAAATCAATCTTTTTTGTATCTATGACAGGTGAAGGAAATTCCAAAAACATTTCCTTCAACAGCTGATTACATGAAGTCATTCATCTATCCCCTAATTGAGGAAACACATGCTGATTTGCTCTCAAGCATGACAAACTTGCCACGTGCACCTATGCGTGAAATTTTTGATGTTAGAATCTCTAAACACTTTAAGCCTCCCAAAAGCTTGTTGTATGACATTATCTTGCAGAGAATGAGAGAAGAGAATGGCAAAGGCAAGTATGAGCCTGAGGTTGGAGATCTCATTGCCTTGACAGATGTAAGACCAAAGTGTATAGATGACCTCAACAGGCCCAAGAGATCCTATCTTATTGCTTTAGTTCTAACTAAATCAGAGGAATATCCTGATAAAGTTACAATCTTGACTTCAAACCTCTTTGGATTTGAGGAAGCAGCTATGGAAAAGGATAACAGGAAACAGAAACTTTTCGCCATAAACATTACAAACTTGACGACGAATATTCGTATATGGGATGCCTTGCATCCAGGACAGGAAGGGGGAAACATGAACATCATTAAAAAAGTGCTGCAAACTGATTCTGGGGTAAGGAATCAAAGCATTTTTACTTGGTTATCATTTTTCACATATGAAAACGGCCCTTTTGCGGCTTGAAAGTACCTCTTAAGTGCTAACATCTTTCATTTGAATTGCCTGCATAAACAGAGAAAATAACTATGGTCTAAATTTAATGGGAGCCACAGCCTCCCGTTCTTGTTTATTTCTTTGTGTTTTTACTCGTACAATTCTCATCTATACAATTTCTTCTGGTGTTTAGGTTGGTGGAACATGTACTCTCTGTTCCAGTAAAGGAAATGAAAGTTCTGCTGTATTGAACTCAAAGGAAGTAATTCGCTCATTTAAGCTAGATGAATCCCAAGAAAATGCCGTTTTAAGTTCTATTGCTACACGAGAATGCAATCATGCAAATAGTGTACGATTAATATGGGGCCCTCCTGGTACTGGGAAAACAAAAACAGTCGCTTCCTTATTATTTGCATTGTTAAGATTGAAATGCAGAACATTGTGCTGTGCCCCGACAAACATTGCAGTGATAGGAGTCACAAGTAGACTTGTGAGTTTGGTGAGGAATGATATTCAATTTGATACTTATGGATTGGGAGATATAGTTTTATTTGGTAATGGGGAAAGAATGAAGATTGATGATCATGAAGACCTTTTTGATGTTTTTCTTGAGTACCGTGCTTCCATTCTTGCCCGTTGTTTATGTCCACTTTCTGGGTGGAAAGGTAGTACACAATCGATGATATGTCTGCTTGAAGACCCTCAACAGCAATATAATCTGTATATGATAAAAGATGAAGAGAACGAGAAAAATGATGATAAAGATCATGATGGTTTGGCGGAGGATGGTGAAATTAGAAACTTGGGTGGCAATCAAAACAAAAAAGGTGAGAACAGTGATCAAGACTTCCATGTCAAGGTCAAAAACAAAATGTGGATGAAGGAAATTGTTGATACCTTGAAGGAAAACAAGAAAAATCCGACTAAAAAGATGTCTTCTCAGAAAAGAAAGCAATCTAAGGGTAATGAGAAAGATGGTAAGGAAAGTAAGAACTGCAAAGGAAAGGCAGATGATAAACGTCTCAACCCTTGGACATTTAAGGAGTTCTTCACTAAGAGATTCAATTCCATTAGCGAGCAGCTTCTGTTTTGTTTTACAAACTTGTACACCCATTTACCTACTTCTTTCATTTCATTGGAGGTAGTAAAGAACATGATTAAAGTTTTTGGTTTGCTTCAAACTGTTGGAACTTTGTTGCAAAGTGATAGTGTTACAAATGAAGGCTTAAGAGAAGTCTTCAAAGGAATTGAAGATGGTGGAACAAGGGTGAGAAACTATAATAAGTTGTGNGCACAAAATTGTAAACTTAGACATCTTAAGTTTAAAACTTAACAACTCCCTTAAGATCAAACCATAAGACATTTATCCTCATGAATTCCATGGTCCTAGCATTAATAGTCTACCTTGGATTAGACTGAAAAAGAGATTAATCGAAGTGCACGTAGACCGACTCAAACATCCCTAACCGCAATACCAAAAAAGTAGTAGGAATACTACGTACAAGAGTTATTTTGAGAGTAGTTCTTATAAAGTAAAATGTACATTTACTTGAAGAATGCCAAGCAGAAAATCTGAAGATTCAAAAAAATTCTGGAAGCCTGAGGACATAAATAATTAGTAGGCCACAGTCGTTACTAACATTGCTATAAGCATCGATCAGTGCTAAATCTAATCAGTTACAACACTGCTGATCCAGCTCTAAACCATCATATTCAGCACAAGACCCAAGAAAATCATATAACAAAATCTCAATTGCTGAAGCATACGTAGAGGAATCTTTTCTTTTCTTTTTTTTTCAAAATAAGCAACTAACTAGAAGCATTTCAAGTGCAAATGAACACAACCTATAGTCAAAAAGCCGAGATGAACTTTTGGATCTTTGCCTGTGCCCTCTCCTTCTCTTCCGGCCCATCCAGATCTCCAATGTTATCATGATACTCCTGTGTTATACCCAAATACATAAATATTAGTAAATTATACGTATATGCATATGTAAAGAACAATTACTGTAATATTATTCCGTAGTTGATCCATAAAAATCTAATTAATCATTATTGGCCAGAACAAATTCTTATCAATTTCAAGATAAAACAATGTAGCTACCATAGATGAATGCAGTGACCATGGCAACAAATTATGCCAGGACAAATAGATTTTAGGGAAAACCGAGAAAGATCGACATTTGGTATCAAAAAAAGCAGTTCATCAGCATTACCTGAAGTATATCCTTAACGTCCTTTTTCGTTAGCTTTTGCTGCTTAAGTAGCAGTTCGATTCTTGCTCTCATTTGGGAGTGCCTGTGTCAGAATAACGAACCTCTCGATTAGAGAACCAATATCAGAAGATAACAAACTCTTAAAAAAGGCTCATTGGACAGAGATGGGAACATATATCAAATGCCAAGACTTACTCAGAAGTCCAAAGATGACCCAGAACAACAGCTATCAGCTGCAGGATCAAAGACAGAAGCAGTCAAGTCATTTAAATTGGCTGGAGGCGATAAACTAAAATCACAGTATAATTTACTTCTTAACACTAAAACACATAGTTTCTCGACAACGTATTTGCAAAGTTCTACAGCAGAAAGATTTAGGTAAAGTAATATGGCTAAGTAGTGTTACTGTTGCCAATCTTGGACACAGGTGGAACAATTCCACCTAATCCACATCACAAAGGCCTCTTTCAACCCATTCTTCGGCAACATCAAACATCAGCAAATGACACTTTTGATGCATCTCTTTTTTTCACATTAGATGATGACCACCAGACCAGTCATCTGAAGTCCTCTTTTTTGTGTGTATCTGTGTTATGTAGGACAAATGTAGGAAACATTCTCTTACTGAAAGATGATACCTAAACTACCTATAGCCAATTGCAGAATAGGTTCCCTTACTGTCTATTACAACTGGTTTAGTGGCTGAAAAAGGTTGGCAAGGTAAGGGTATGTTCACATTTGTTTTTGGAAAAAGAACAGTTAGCGATATTATAGTCTTTTTTTGGGCAAGTGTTCACAAGTATGTTAACAGTCCCACAACATTGCCTATTGTTTGCCTTATTGCAAGCCCCTAATAAATATTCCCACACCCAACAGAACAAATTTCACAGTGCCAATGAGATCATTTCTGTTCTATTTGACCTTGAAGAGTGTTTCCTACAAATTCTAGCAGGATATGACAAGAAGTTCTTGAACTGTCTCGTAAGTTATATTCACAATGGAGAAACCAGAACAATCACCCAACCTGAAGAGTAAAGAGTCCCGATTCTAGCTTTCGATTGTACTTTTCCTCTTCATCCATCTGCATTATGTAATGAATAAAATGTTTCAAAACAGTAACTTAAAATGCAGTAATAGTGCCTCAAAAGTAATCAAAAAATGAATAGAACCTCTAAATCATCAAGTTCAAGCTCGTTCATCCTTTCAGTCTCTGATTTCACTCTATCAGAATATCTGGAAAATGAAATAGTAATGCATAGTCACAAGATGATTTAATCCTTAAATAAAAATAAATTCCTTTTTTGCAAGTAGAAGAAGTGAGGGGATTCAGTTTGTAAGGAGGAGGAGGAGGAGGAGGAGGAGCAGGAGCAGGGGAAGTGGGGAGAGGGGAGAGGGGGGTTCTGAAGATCATATGCTTGTGTGCAAGGAATCACCTCATGTACAGCTCCATAAGCCGGTCTATCTTTTCACATTCATTTTCCACAAATTTACTTAACAATCTTTCCCTCCTGGAACCCCTCAAAATTCCGCCTGTAATGCCAATATAAAGTTACCAACTTGCAAATCCTAGTTATACATTTCACAGATTGCTATCTTACTTTCAAAAGAAACAAGATCAAGAAGAGAATATATACATAGACATGCGAACATAGCATGAAGGAGAAATATAGACATAGTTATTATTGTTGAAGTTTCAATATATCAACTCCCAAAAAAAAGATATCCAAGTTCTGAAACTGACATGCCTTCTTACCAAATAATGATGCAATTAGTGATATAAGCCGCTCTTCCAATTCTTCTTTGTAACGCCTTCTCTTGTTCTTCTTGTTCACGGGAATCTAAAAAAGTTTGAAACACATTACTTCTGTTATTTTCTAACTAGATGCAGTCAAATGGTGTAGAACAATATCGGAGCACACATAAGCGCACACACACACACACTTAGATAATCATGTAGTTTTTATTTCTTCTGAAAACAATTGTCCTCATACTGAATAGGCATAGAAGACATTAAGAAGAAGAGGAAAACAACCTAATCGCACTTCAGTTGACAAGGCAAAATAGTTTCCAAATAAGGAAATAATATGCACAGCGTATATTAGCAATGGTACCCCACCAGATTATTTATTTCTTTGTGTGTTATAAGTGCTCCCCAGAAAGTAGTAGCAGGTAATAAACTTACTATTTATCAATGCTATCTCCTCTTACTGGCCTTCCTCATGCTCTGACAAGCTTGATCTCTTCTCAAGCACAATTCCAAAAATATTGGACATGGAATTTCATATCTAGAAGATGTATTTTTTCAAAATTAGAGCATAACTCAAAGATGGACGGAAAGTTTACCACATAAACCACTCAATCCCTTTTGTTCTTTAAACGTTTTTCCTAGGTGGACTATCATCAAGTAACCCGCACATTAAAATTTGAGGCAGTCACGGCCAACATAAAATTGAGTTCTAGTCGTCCTATGCTCAGCATTCTTACATATGACACAGTTTGAAAAATTAGGAGCATATCCAGTGCAATGCTCATATACTGCTTCTAGCAGTTGCAAAACATATTAAAGGGACACAGAAACAATGCTACTGCTAAAAGGGAAACATGAACTTGCCTTACCCATAAAAGCCGGAAACGCGGTCTTCAATCCCATAACATCCACAAACCGTTCACAAGCGGGTGGATAGTTAGTCATGGCAAAATCCAGCGCCCTTGTAGCCGAACCATAACACGATTTCTTCTGATTCATAATAATAATCATCAACTCCACCCCCTCTGCTTTCACAAACCTCTCCTTATTCTCCAAGGGCATCAACAAACAACACAGACAATCAAACAAATTCTCTACCATCTCCTCCTCATCCGTCGTCTTCGGGTCCTTCGATTTATACATTGCCACCGCCTGTAAAATCACATCGACCCCATTCACCTGCCCCAATCTCTTCTGATTCGCCGAACTACTCTGTAACAAAATCGCCAAAATCTCCGAGGCGTACTGCTTATTACCATCAAATTCCCGGGCCTTGATTTTCCCCAATAACCACCTCATTAGCTTAGTCTTCTCACACACCATCTCGGCCACAGCGGGCTTTACCTCAATCAAATTCTCAATCGTCGCTAGAGTATTGTAAACCGCAGCCAACTCATCGGGATCTGTCTCCGACAACCGGAGCAAATTCTGTACTAGTAATTCAAGGACATTGTTTTCGATTAGAGCATCGACAAGGACTTGAGCGGGCTCGTCATTGTCTTCGAGGACGTCTTCATCGGTGAGGTCTTGGAGGAGAGTTACGACATCAATGGCGATGTCGGTGTTTTCGTGGATGAGGAGATTGAGGATGGAGGGTATGGTTCCGAGATTTACGAGGTCAGGGTAGAGTTCGGGTCCTCCGGCGAGGATTTTGAGCTTTTGGATTTCTTCGTGTAGCTCGATTTCGGAGTCGGCGAATTTATCCGGCTGGTCCGGGTACTTGAGCCGGGCGGCGATGTTCTCCTTGAGGCGGCGTTCGAAGGAGAGGACGAGTTTTTTTAGGGTTTTGAGGTCGAGTGTTTCGACGGGGTTTTGGGATTTCTCGAGTGCTTCGAGGAGAGAGAGGTCTAAGCCGCCGTTGGCGGTGGTGGACGGCGGCGGATAATAGTCGTCGGAATCTTGCCGTTTGCGCTTTGGAATGTGGCTGTTGACGAACTCCATTGTCCACACTACTACCGTACCGGTGGCTGAGGAACTGAGATGAGAAAGAGACTGAAGAGAAATGAATATCCGGGACGTGCCCAATGTATGTAAATGTTGGACTTGGGCCTTAGGATAATGGTGCTGGATGAAAATGGGCTTCACGAGTGGCTATACGTTAAAAAATGGGTAAATTGTAAGGGGTACACCAAATTATATTTATTTGGTAAAACGTACACACTAAAAAATATTAAGTCATTAATTTTTATACTAATTTGTATCTAAGTACATAATTTGAATTTGCCTAATTTTTTTGTGACATTTTTGTCCTCCATTGATCCATGTGTATATTCTTTAGAAAGTGATACATTAATTATCTCCTAGTTTGATGGGAGAACTTTAGTATTTAATACACATTGATTCATGTGCATTTGTTAATATATATATATTAAGAAATACACATGAATTAATGTGCAATAAATATTAAAGTTCTCTCATAAAATTATGAGATATTTAATGCACCACTTTTCATAAAATGAGCATTTATGTCTTTGTATCTAACTAGTGTACCTTTTTTCAAAACATATTTTAATATGTACTTTTTTGTCAAATAAATCTAATTAGGTATATCGACTTTCAAAAACTCCTTTGAAAATTGGGTCCAGTTTTATTTTAGAGTCAAAAAATTTTAAAATACATAATTTAAACATATTTGTCATTAAGTTTAATTATGGGAAATTTGGACGTAAGTCTCCTTATATGAACTTATTCGGATTTAAGTCTAATAACGAAACTTATTTGTTATAAAGTTCATTTTTTGTCATTTTTATCAAACTATCTCTTTCCTTTAGAAATAAAATAAAATTAAAAATTAAAAATTCCTAAATTTTAAGAGTTTGACTAACATTAAAAAAAAATTTCTCTTGTATCTATGTATATCAATATATAGGTTAAGACAAAAATAATATCATTTAAACATAAAAAATAGTAATATTTAAACATAAAAAAAATAGTAGCATTCAATATTAATATTTTAAAAAAATAACAATAGTAACATTTTCAACAAAAATAGTAACATGTTTAACAAAAATAGTAACACGTTCAACAAAAATAGTAACATGTTCAGTAAAAATAGTAACATGTTTAACAAAAACAATAACATATTAAACAAAAAAAAAATAGCAATAGGGAATATTGAACAAAATTAAAAATAAAAATAGTAACATTCAAACTCATAACTAGAGAAAGAAGTCTCTAATTCTTCAGTATCCAAAAAAATAACATTGAAAAAGTAATAACATGCTCAAAAAAAATAGTAACATAGTCAATTAAAAAAAAATAGCAACGTGGTCAACAAAAAATATAATAACAAGAAACATTCAAAAATTTTGACTATTATTTATAAAAAAATAATGATATGGCAGTTATTGATGATATTTTAAACCCTACTAATTTTGAAGCTATAGAGGAAAAAATGATATTTAAGGAAAAAAATTTGTTTCAGAGGGGTGATGATCTTCTTTTAATGAGAGAGAGAGGATATAAATTTGAATTTTAAATTGGGAGTAAATTAAAGGATAATAATTTTTAATTTAAGAAATTAATTTAAAGTTATTTTCAAAATGTTTAAGGTTTTTATAATTGAACAGAATAACACTGTTAACGATATTTTTGAAATTTTAAAAAATAATAAACTTAAGTACTTATTAGTAAGATAAAAAACAAATTTATCACTAAATAAATTTATTTGACGGATTCATGTCATTATAAATTCATTTAAGTGGATTCATCTCTAATTTTCACTTTAATGTTATCTTAAGCAGTTAAGTCTATTTTTTCTCTTTTCTTTTTCAATTACTAAAACATCCTTGATAGATTGTTTTAACGTTAAAAAGAGTTTTCAATTTGATTTGTAGATCATAATTACATAACTGGCAACAATTTTTATGTCTTTCCAATCTCATATTTGAAATTCAAAACAATTTGAGCTACTCTTCTTCAATTTTTCTTCTTGCTGTTTCTTCTTCTTCGTTCAGAGGTCAATTTTTCCATAACTGATTTTTATAAATTTTTTATTTCAAACTTGTATCTGAAATTTAAAATTTTCAAACCGATCTTCGATATTTCTTTCTTGTAGATAGGCATAACTGACCAAGGGAATTTAAAAGAAATAATTAAAAGAAATATTATAGATAATTTAGAGATTTAAATATATAAGGATATGATGGTAATTTAGACATTTAATTGTGAAATGATAGAGTGGTCTTTATAATCTTTTACAAGAGTAAAATAGAGATTCAAAAGTTTTTCATCTTAAAGTACNGGTAATTTAGACATTTAATTGTGAAATGATAGAGTGGTCTTTATAATCTTTTACAAGGGTAAAATAGAGATTCAAAAGTTTTTCATCTTAAAGTACTTTTATTAATAATAGTATAGTATATATATATATGTNATTTAGACATTTAATTGTGAAATGATAGAGTGGTCTTTATAATCTTTTACAAGAGTAAAATAGAGATTCAAAAGTTTTTCATCTTAAAGTACTACAATTTTTTGTTTCAAATGTTACTCCTTTTTGTTTTAAATAATACCAATTTTGGAATATTGATCTAAAACTGTACTATCTTTAGTTTTAAATGTTATTATTATTGGTTACAAATGTGTTCATGTTAATAATGCTTATGTTCCTCATTATATTCAATGTTATTATATTTTATTTTAAATGTTACTGTTTTTTGTCACCATATTGTCTCATGTTATTGGTCAATGTTATTGTCTTTGATTTTAAATGTTACTGTTTCATAATACTCTAATATTCAATGTTATTGTCTTTATGTTATTATGCAATGTTACTGTCATTTATGTTAAAACAAGTATATATATAATACGAGAGAGAAAATAGTCTTAATCTAGGAAAGATTTAAAATTAAGAAATTTTGAATTTGATTTAGTTTAAATTTAGTTACATTTATACATGTGTCTATAGATAGATATGAGAGAGATAAAAAATTCTAATATGAGATAACTCTAAAATTTAGAAGTTTTAGTTTCCAAATATATTTTTATGGGATTTGTAATTCAATATGTATATATATTATAGGGGGGGAATAGTCCTAATATATGAAATATCTAACACCATCGTCCACTATTGCCGTCACCAATTATCACCCACCATTACCACCACCACAACCAGTGTCATTCGCCACTATTCATCAGTGCAAAAGCACCCGTTGTCACCTAGCATCATCGTCATCGTCTATCACCATCCACACTCACCACCGCCATTGCCACCATCACCACAGCCGTTACTACCTACCTCAATCATCACCGTCTCCCACCACTATTACAATCGCTTACCTCTGTTACAATCGGTACTTAATTTTTTTTGTCTATCCTCTATATTTGTGGTTTGATTTTAAATATAAATAAAAATATATTTATTGTTAATCTTTTTTTATTACTCTGTACCTTAAAACACAAGTAATAACTAGTAATTTTATACGATATCATTGTGTAACAGTCCGTTGTTGATTCAACATACTAATTTTTAGATAGGCCACATTTGTAATTCGATTATGCAAAAATTTCACTTGTTTTTTTTTTCTTTGGTTAGCAGACTCGTCCAATTCAATATCTTTGGTTGTAAGATTATCTCTCATCCATGTGACCGATACATCCCCGATTTGCTTATTAAAATTCAACTCATTTACATTTTTGAATATCCTAATTGAATTTTGTGTACAACACATTTTTTTAATACATATAGGGTTTGTTTGGTAAACACGTTATAAGTGGATTAAATATTATGTTGTATTATTATTTATTTAATCGAGTTTAATATTTTATTTGATAGATAAATTTGATTCCGTATTAATTTCTAAAACATATATTTATCATATATTTTTACTACTATAAACCTACATTGTAGAAGTATTTTAATACCACTAGACGAGATGATATTATAATTCAACTCAAATGTATTATTATACACATTTACTATTATAACCCCACAATTGATAAAATCAACTTGTCATCTACATAATAAACACTTTGATACACTGATTAAAGCTATTTTTGTTAATTCAATATTAATACAATGTAATAATTTTCTAACTAAATAACCGATTAGATTAAATAATTATTATCCAACGTTTATATTATATTTTATTAAATATTAAATAAAATTACGTATTATTCTAATAGCTCCATAATCTCCTCAAACATGTAGGATGATTTATCATAAACATGAAACCTCTAATGTTAATTCAAGTCCAACGTGTTGTCTCGCTTTGAAAGTTTCAAAAAACCATGGTGACTCATCCCTCTCTTTTGTTTATTTCTTCTTTGTTTGCATTTCTCACTTTTTTTGTTGACAGAAAACTTCATTGGGGATGATTTTCAATTATCTTAATATTAAATTGTCTATGATGGAGTTTGCTATATAGAAATCGATTTTTCACTTGTAGACAATAGTTTTTTTTTTTAATTTAATGTATAGTTTAATTAAGATGAAATAATTAGAGGAAAAATCAAAGATAGAGAAAAGGACCATGTCATCAATTTTTCCCATTGTCAAGAGTAAGAAATAATAAAAAAAAA